TCCATCGTCTGATCACCAGTGCTTGTTGGAGCGGATGAGCAAAAGAATGTCTGATGTCTGTGGGTTAGCCCACTCACACACTCACCTACTCACTTGCTCACAGTTACTCTCACATCAGCTCTCCTCTGCACTGGCCTCGATGCCAAAATCACACCTCTCTGCACATTAAATACGAGGAAGTCAGACAGGTGAAGGTGACACCAGAAAGAATGCTCCACTAAAACCAATAACTCATTTAGCGTTTATCCCCAGCCTTGACAATCAGTCAGTTTCTACATTCCACTCGCGTTCACCACATGCTCCACTTTTTTGCTTCATTGATAGGCAGATCATATTAAGGACGCAGAATAACGCAAATATGTGTTTATTTTTATGCAACATGCCTTTCTATAAGTAAGTGAGCACAGCGTCAGCCATATATGGAAGCGCTGAGTAAACTTTCCATCGATGCCTCCAACACAGACAATTTCGCTGTCTCCCACAACAACTACTTGACCCTCCTCAGTTGGCAGAAGTGACGTATTGCGAATTCAAATGATAAAATTAACCCAATCTCAAAGTTCTCTGTGGAATTACATTGACCATTTAATGAATGGTCAAACAGAATGCAGTGCGGTTCGCTAGGGTTTGCTGCAATCGCTTCTTGCTTAACGAAAGATGGTTCGTTCAAATGTGTGCAAGCATCGAGAAGTATAAGTGAAAAGTACTGCTTCATCTGCTTGTCAGTACCCTCCTCTTGTAGCTCTACTAGCCTCCAACCTATCTCAGTCATCCCTGAAACTGCGCTTTGCTTCTCTTTACACTCTGCTGCTCCACTAATTGACTCCAACTCGGTAATTATGTACAGAAGCTCCTCATCAAGCTGGTGGTACAGCATTTGGGACAAATAAGGTTTGTAATTGTCGAGGGTGGTGCTCAGTGCACGGCACAAACCACTCACATTACGATGGCGATTTAGTTGTGATGTGCAACTACTCATAGGATGTGCCTCATATTTAGCAATTTCCCTTCTCTTTAACACACCATTCCCTCACCCAACTACCTAGATGTCTCTGAAGTGTGTGCCGTCAGTCTTGTGTCTGTTTTGTGTAGGTGGGTGAGAGAAGGAATATACATCAAATCATTTCTACTTAACAAGGTAAAAGAGGAGCTAAGTCCAAAGGCCCTGAAAAGAAATCATCTGGTTGTTACAGAATTATATTTCTTATACCACATGCCACGAATCTGACTGAGACGAAAATTATACTTAAGCATAGGAGAGAGTGAGAGGGAAGTGAGTTGCAGGGACAGAACGTATGGCGGCGAGTAAGCACGACGGTGAGAGGATGGGGGAGGGGAGGAGGAGAGAAAGGGTGGTAGAGAGTCAGTTGACAAGGTTCAAGGCAAAAGTTGCCACCTCATCGTCACCATTCTTGTCTGCAATCACCTAAATCCTCTAATAATGCTTCCTCACGTCGTGATTGCAATCTTCCCTCTACACCATCATGCCCAGTATCATTCGAGCATCATGTGATTGCAGATGATATTTCACATTTCTTAACTAAATAAACAGTAGGGCGTTGTCACTGACATGAAAGAAGTGAAGTCTGTGAGAGATGGATATATTACCTTTGAAGATAAAACACCTCATCAATGTGCCATTAGTGGTCACCAGTCAGTGTCACCTTAGGGGGGAAGCGTCATAGTGCACATTTTCTTCTCTTATTGGAAGAATGAGAAATAGAATATCGTGGGAACCTACTTGGATCACTCGAGATACTTGCCAACATAAATGAATCCCCAAATTAAAGCGTGTGTATACACTATTTGTATTCAAATACCCCACTCGCCCTCTATCGCTCATCTGATGAAAATAGAAAACAACGTCACAGAAAAGGTTACTATGCTGAATTCGAATTGTTGGAAACCGCTAAGCATTCATCCATCGTCTGATCACCAGTGCTTGTTGGAGCGGATGAGCAAAAGAATGTCTGATGTCTGTGGGTTAGCCCACTCACACACTCACCTACTCACTTGCTCACAGTTACTCTCACATCAGCTCTCCTCTGCACTGGCCTCGATGCCAAAATCACACCTCTCTGCACATTAAATACGAGGAAGTCAGACAGGTGAAGGTGACACCAGAAAGAATGCTCCACTAAAACCAATAACTCATTTAGCGTTTATCCCCAGCCTTGACAATCAGTCAGTTTCTACATTCCACTCGCGTTCACCACATGCTCCACTTTTTTGCTTCATTGATAGGCAGATCATATTAAGGACGCAGAATAACGCAAATATGTGTTTATTTTTATGCAACATGCCTTTCTATAAGTAAGTGAGCACAGCGTCAGCCATATATGGAAGCGCTGAGTAAACTTTCCATCGATGCCTCCAACACAGACAATTTCGCTGTCTCCCACAACAACTACTTGACCCTCCTCAGTTGGCAGAAGTGACGTATTGCGAATTCAAATGATAAAATTAACCCAATCTCAAAGTTCTCTGTGGAATTACATTGACCATTTAATGAATGGTCAAACAGAATGCAGTGCGGTTCGCTAGGGTTTGCTGCAATCGCTTCTTGCTTAACGAAAGATGGTTCGTTCAAATGTGTGCAAGCATCGAGAAGTATAAGTGAAAAGTACTGCTTCATCTGCTTGTCAGTACCCTCCTCTTGTAGCTCTACTAGCCTCCAACCTATCTCAGTCATCCCTGAAACTGCGCTTTGCTTCTCTTTACACTCTGCTGCTCCACTAATTGACTCCAACTCGGTAATTATGTACAGAAGCTCCTCATCAAGCTGGTGGTACAGCATTTGGGACAAATAAGGTTTGTAATTGTCGAGGGTGGTGCTCAGTGCACGGCACAAACCACTCACATTACGATGGCGATTTAGTTGTGATGTGCAACTACTCATAGGATGTGCCTCATATTTAGCAATTTCCCTTCTCTTTAACACACCATTCCCTCACCCAACTACCTAGATGTCTCTGAAGTGTGTGCCGTCAGTCTTGTGTCTGTTTTGTGTAGGTGGGTGAGAGAAGGAATATACATCAAATCATTTCTACTTAACAAGGTAAAAGAGGAGCTAAGTCCAAAGGCCCTGAAAAGAAATCATCTGGTTGTTACAGAATTATATTTCTTATACCACATGCCACGAATCTGACTGAGACGAAAATTATACTTAAGCATAGGAGAGAGTGAGAGGGAAGTGAGTTGCAGGGACAGAACGTATGGCGGCGAGTAAGCACGACGGTGAGAGGATGGGGGAGGGGAGGAGGAGAGAAAGGGTGGTAGAGAGTCAGTTGACAAGGTTCAAGGCAAAAGTTGCCACCTCATCGTCACCATTCTTGTCTGCAATCACCTAAATCCTCTAATAATGCTTCCTCACGTCGTGATTGCAATCTTCCCTCTACACCATCATGCCCAGTATCATTCGAGCATCATGTGATTGCAGATGATATTTCACATTTCTTAACTAAATAAACAGTAGGGCGTTGTCACTGACATGAAAGAAGTGAAGTCTGTGAGAGATGGATATATTACCTTTGAAGATAAAACACCTCATCAATGTGCCATTAGTGGTCACCAGTCAGTGTCACCTTAGGGGGGAAGCGTCATAGTGCACATTTTCTTCTCTTATTGGAAGAATGAGAAATAGAATATCGTGGGAACCTACTTGGATCACTCGAGATACTTGCCAACATAAATGAATCCCCAAATTAAAGCGTGTGTATACACTATTTGTATTCAAATACCCCACTCGCCCTCTATCGCTCATCTGATGAAAATAGAAAACAACGTCACAGAAAAGGTTACTATGCTGAATTCGAATTGTTGGAAACCGCTAAGCATTCATTGAATCTTTTGACTTGGTCCTGAGTGTTCCCTGATGTGGTGGCAAGGGGCCTCGCTGTGATCGACTTTTAATCGGCAAAGTGGCCCAGGAAACCGCGGGTTTGGTGGATGCCCATGTCAAGAGTATTGG